TTATACAATCTCGTTTATACAAATTTATGTGTCAATACATAATTGGATTGATTTAAAATTAAAGATAAATGAAGCAAATTAATGTACATGATAAGGTAAACATGTGATATTGACCCATCAATTTGCATTAAATAGTTTCTAGCTATGATTAATTTCTTTGTGTAACTTTACTCCTAATTGAAGTTTCCCGTAATAATTTCATAGGCTTAGTTACATTGGATAATATAGAATAAAAGATCTCATACCACTCTTCAATAGCCTAATTGAAGATGACTAGATGTTCATCGGAGATATTTGTCAAAAAGAAAGAAAGTTAGAGCGTGTTTGGCAGATTAGAAAATGAGAAAAAATGGGAGAGAAAATCAGTCTACTTTTCTTATTAGCAATACTCTGCCGCTTATGCAAAAGTTTCTCTTTCCTTATTGTCGAAAGATACATTAAATCATGAAGCATGGATTTGTGTTATGTGTCAAGCCATTAAGCACTATACAAAAATTCCGCAGAGCATAAATCCTAGTACAGACCAAAGACAAAAAGAAAAGTAAAAAAGGGGAACATTTATTACTTCTTTTTATTTGTCTCTTGTATACGTGTTAAATGATAAGTGAAAGAGTGAACAAAAATGTGCAAAAGAAGAACATTTCTACCGCTCCTCTACTTCGAACATTAAATACATGTTGAGAAAATACATCCAAATACGTGTAAAACAAAGAGGGCTCTAGAATTTAAGCTTGGTGGTTGTTTGGTTGAAGTTTTCTGACATAATAATAAAAAAATCATCTTCAAAGATGCCATTGAAACTCTTATGATACAAGTACAGGCCTGACATTAATTATGGCATCGTTATTTATTGTACTAGATAAAATCATCTAAATAAAATGGATAAATATGCATCAAAATAATACTGTAGTGATGTTTATTCTCATGTGTAAAAGAGTAAACGACATGTTCCCATCCAAGGATTGGCAAATCTGTAAGTTCCTACCTTGATTTCATAAATTTCATAATCTCACCTTTAAATTAATAGAAAATAGTTTAATGTAATAGTTAAAGGGTAAATTGTCATTTATATTGTATTAAATTTGAAATAAAAATAAAAATTTTAAAGTAACCCTCCACATCTCAAATTTCTCCACAAACACCCTCCATATCTCAAGTTTGAAATATAACAATCGCACCCATGTGATAGAAACGAGACTTGGCAACTCGTGGACGGCAAACGACGAGTGAGGGAGGCCAGTGGAGATGTGGGTTTTGTTGAGCAGAGGATCGGGGTTCGAATGGTTGTGAGAGTGGGTATTTCTAGTGTTAAAACCAGCCGGAATCTGGCTGTAAACTTGGAGAATCGCGCGAGGTTATTGGGGCTATCGGCCGACGATTTGTGGGTGCATCGAGGTGGGAGTGTGAGGGGGTTTGGTGATTGTGGCGTGGGGGTTCTGATGGTGGTAACAGGAGAGCTTGGTGATGTCAGAATTGGCCGGAAATGGCCTAGGAGTAGTGGTGGGTGAGAGGAAAAGTCGCAGAAATTGTGCAATCCAATTGACCTAATGGGCGGCAGTCAGGCGAGGGTTTGGGGTGCTGCTCCTAGTCTCCTTCGCGCCGCTGCTGCCATGGCTTTGGCCGATCTATGGTGCCGATTGTGGTGGTTGGGGTTTGCCCAGCTCGTAGGGTGCAATGGACAAGCTTCCATCTTTTAGGGAGGTTTCTGATATCTAACCGCCACAATCAAAAGTAAAAGTTAAAGGGCAGTTTGGTAATAATATATTATATACTGTTTCAAACCCTAACAGTGTTAATTTAAAGGTCGGAATCTGGAATTTAAGAAACCAATGGTGGGAACTTTTAGATTCGCCAAACCTTGGGTGGGACCATGTCGTTTACTCTTTGTAAAATGACAAACTTAAGTCTATTATTACACATAGAAAATTCTAAAAAAATTCTTATGCATTTAGATCTCTTTAGATTTTAGACAAAAGCAATTCACTAGTATAGAATAAAGGTGTATTCATTATTGTTATTGATGCTTAATTATGTATAATGTTGCAGTCTTACTTCGGATAGAAATAAGTTGGGTGTTGAAATACATTTAAATAGTTAACAAGTGCTTTGACTCATAACAATACATTCATATATATTAGATATGTGATGTGATTTTTAACTTAAATTAATGACTTAATCTATGCTTTAAAATCATACCCACTAATCTTATCCATCTAAGTGTTAGGATAATCGTTGAGATGTTATCAAAAGTTACTTTATGTGCAAGAAGGTTAAAGATTTGGATGACTCTCACAAAGAAAGAGAAGAGTTGGATCCAGTAGGAGCCATGACCCTTAATGGAAGTAGCTTACATGTTCTTCTCAACACGATCTACCTTGCTCTCTATGATTCTCCACCATTAAAGGTATATTAATTACATCCCTAAAGTTCCACGAACGCCAACCTAAATGTAGGTCCCAGAATTAAATTCTTTAAATTAGACTTTTAACAAGAAACAACCTCAATTATGAGGTTACCTTCATTATCAATTTATGATGCTACTAAATGGCTGACGTTGTCATGGCACTTCTTAATCTAATTATATGTTTAAAAATTCTATACCCGTAAAAGCACAAAATTGTACTTCTTGTGTAATATTCAACGTTTCACTTACATTTTGTTTCTTTTTCCTTACAAGCACTTTTAATACAGCATCTCTGGCACACTAAACTCTTAAATGTTTATTTAAAATTTGAAATTCATATCTTGGAGCATCTCTAAATGACTCTTTATATGGTTTAAACTCTTTATTATAAAGAGTTTATTCATAAAAACAAGAGTCCAATAGACTCTTTATCTTTAAAATATAAATTAGAGAGTGAGTTTGACTCTCCACATTTAGAGAGTCAAATTTCACTTTCTATCCTAATTTTAATTAATAAACTAAAAGTTCCTATGCATTTTATTTATAATTCTCTCTCCCATTAAGTCTTTTTCTTAAAAATAAAGAGCATCTTCATTAAATTTAAAGAGTCTATTGGATTTGAATAAAAATTGTGTTCTTTATATTTTAAAATTATTGAAGATGCTCTTTATTTATATGAAAAATACTTTTCAAAATAAAGAGCACCAGTGGAGATGCTCTTAGAAATCTTCAAATGACTCTTTATATGATCTAAACTCTTTATTATAAAAAGTTTATCCATAGAAACAAGAGTCCAGCAGACTCTTTATTCTTTAAATATAAATTAAAGAGTGAGTTTGACTCTCCACATTTAGAGAGTCAAATTTCACTCTCTTTCCTAATTTTAAATAATAAATTACAAGTTTTTATGCATTTTATTTATGATTTATCTCTCCTATTAAGTTGTTTTCATGAAAAAACATATTATCTCTCTTAAAATTTAAAGAGTCTATTAGATTTGAATAAAAGTTTTATTCTTTATATTTAGAAATCACTAAAGATCCTCTTTAAAATAAAGAGCACCATTGGAAATGCTTTTACACAATATAGCAAAAGGTTTTAGTCATTTTACTTTGAAAGGTTTGTATTTAATCTATGCAGCTTTCTTTGATTACCCTGCAAATGAAATAAGTGATATATCAATTTTTATTGCAAGAAAATAAATGTAATTGTTAATCTTTTACAAACTATGAAGATGAAAATAGAAAGAAAGAATAAAATCTTTAATTGTTTATATGGGGGCATTAAAAAAGAATCTGTCATATTAAGCACCAAATAGTGATACGCAATGACTTAACTTATTTGCTTTAGGTGGTTGGCCAAAGTGTATCTATGCACATCTTTGAATAAAAAGGATACGTTTGGTGCATCATATTGGATTCAATTAGTTTCCTTGATATAAATGTATTATATATAATTTTATGCTAAATGTTTGATGTAGTATAGTATTGGACGCGATCATGTATAGTATTGGACACAAGATTAATACTACACTTACAAAGAAATTTTACAAAGATCTTCCTACAAAGTGATGTGGTAAAAAATGAATGAGAGAGTGAATTTAATGAGTTTGACTTTTTGTTTCACTCTTCCATTTATCTTTTGTCACGTCACTTTGTATGCAAATTTTTGTAAGATTTCTTTGTAAATATAATATTATTGTACACACAAACAACACAAAATCACCTATATAGTTTATGTAACCCTTAAATGATCCAATTCAATAGATAGGCCCAAAAGAAGAAAATAATAATAATAATAATAAAGAAAATTTTGGATTATAAATAAATAAGACACATTTTGTACAAAGTCGTTACATGTAAAATATAATAAAGCTCATATTTTTCTCTAAACCTAATTAAGTTGGTTTTAATGTAGGGTTGATTCCTTATAAATCCTATTCTACTGGGTTTCTTTGATTTAGTTTACCTTTAAGAAATTATGGTTTTCTTTATGCTAGTATGATTTCTTTTATTTGTTTTACCATATGTTAGGGATATGTTTAAGAATATTGAAAATGATACTATTATAATTTGTGTTGAATAATAATATTATCACTACTATTAAAGTTTCAATATTTACCATTATGTTAAAAAATTTAAATTATATATATTGAATTTCACCCTTCATCTCATGGATTGTTTATTCTGTCATTGCCTACATTCACACCTTGAACTCAACCTTGAGCTCTCTTTGCACTGTCAAGAAGATTGTACGTACAACCACTCAAGTTTACGCAATTCTTAGATATTTCCTTCAAAAGATGCAAAAGGTGTTGATACGTCCTAACCACATAGAAAGCTTACCCTCTTGCGGAGTGGGCCAGTCCACTTAGGATTTCACTTGGACTTGGAAATGGGCCTATCCAATTAGGATTAGAGAATATTATTTATCCCCCGTTCTTTTGCGAAGTGATTTTAGCCCCTATCTAATTGTCTTCACACCCCATGGCCCATTTCGAAGCCGCTTTATATAGCAAACAAACTTTTAAGCATCAAAAGACTACTCTTCGTTTCAAAAAAAAAGCCTCTTTATATAGCAAACAAACTTCTAAGCATCAAAAGACTACTCTTCGTTTCAAAAGTTATCTTTACGTACACCTTTCTATAAGAATGTGGAGGCTAAAGGTTTCAGAAGGCGGGAAAGATCCATACATATTCAGCACAAACAACTTTGCCGGAAGGCAGACATGGGAGTTTGATCCTGAAGCAGGCTCTTCTGAGGAGAGAAGTGAGGTTGAAGAAGCTCGCAAAAATTTCCACAAGAATCGTTTTAAAACCAAGCCTTGTTCAGATCTCCTTTGGCAATTCCAGGTACATCTTTATTTATAAATAAAAAATTTTGCTCAACTTTTATTTTGTTTTAATACATTTGATGTATTGCAGTTTCTTAGAGAAAAGAAATTCAAACAGACGATTCCTCAAGTGAAGGTTGAAGATGGAGAAGAGATCACTTATGAAATTGCTACAGCCGCATTGATGAGGGCAGTCAGATTGTTAACAGCTCTGCAAGCTAGTGATGGCCACTGGCCTGCTGTCAATACGGGCCCATTGTTTTACCATACTCCATTTGTAATTGCTCTTTGCTCTCCCTACTGCATGAATTAATGCACTAACAGTATTTCTGCTAACAGTACCTTTATTTTACTGTTTATGCAGGTTATGTGTCTATACATTACAGGATATCTCAATGTTATATTATCTCCTGAACACTGCAGAGAGATGCTTCGTTATATATACTGTCATCAGGTACATATTAATTTTATTCGTGAATATATCCTTTATCATTTCTCTAATTGTTTTTTAAATAATGAATTAAAATTAAAACCTAATTAATAAAATTCATTCTCAATTACAAATTAAATGTTAGATATTGCAAAATCTAAACATATATTATTATTATGAAGAATTTTACAATTTGAGAAGGATAAAAAAATAATTTAGTCTGTAAAATTAGAGACCTTACATATTTTATAAAAATTACATCCACAATATATATTACAAATCTAGAAAATATCTACTTCGAGTAAACTAAAAAAATCCATTAAAGTAACAACAACAAAAAATCTCTTTATATGGTCCCCCGGATTTGTATTTTTTATGGAACAGATATAAAATATTAATTAATTTAATTTATAAAGTAAAATTAATTGTGCATGTGACAGAATGAAGATGGTGGATGGGGATTACACATTGAGAGTCACAGCACAATGTTTTGTACTGTTTTCAACTACATTTGCATGCGTTTACTTGGGGAAGGACCTGATGGTGGTGAAGATAATGCTTGTGCAAGAGCAAGAAAATGGATTCTCGATCATGGCAGTGCAACATCAATTTCATCTTGGGGAAAGACTTGGCTTGCTGTATGATTCTATTAAGTTGCTGATAAGATTAATCTATATATTTTTATCTTCAAATAATTAATCAAAATTCTTTTCGCAGATACTCGGTGTGTATGAATGGTCTGGATGCAACCCTATGCCCCCAGAATTTTGGTCATTTCCTTCTTTTCTTCCCATCCATCCAGGTTTGAAAAATAATTCATTTATTTAGTTGACTTTTTTTATATTCACACATCAATTCATTCTGATTAAAAAAAGAAAAAGAAAAACATGAACATTATTATTAATTACTCTCTAACTCTTCACAGATTTATTTATTTTTAATTTTGAATATTTCAGCAAAATTGCTTAGTCATTGTCGGCTTACTTATATGCCAATGTCATATTTATATGGGAAAAGATTTGTTGGTCCAATCACACCTCTCATTTTACAATTGAGAGAAGAACTCTACAATGAGCCTTTCAATAACATAAATTGGAGCAAAATGCGGCATTTATGTGCAAAGGTATTTTTTATTTATTATTTATTATTATTATTTTATGTATGTTCCTTAGAATTCTATTATAATTGAAAAGAGGAAAAATGATAATAAATTTAACATTGTTTTCGTAGGAGGATGTCTACTATCCCCGTACTTTGATACAAACTGTGCTATGGGATGTTCTTCACACAACTGCGGAGCCTATTTTAACCAGTTGGCCCTTTAAAAAGTTTAGAGAAAAGACTCTCCAAATAACCATGAACCACATTCACTATGAAGATGAGGCCAGTCGATACATTACCATTGGTTGTGTTGAAAAGGTATGGCATTGCAAAGTTTTGAAGTTTAGGCGCCTAAAATATTTATGCTTTTTCTGAGACTGATGCGTTACATAATGTGAACAGGCGCTATTTATGCTTGCTTGTTGGGTTGAAGATCCTAATGGAGAACATTTTAAGAAGCACCTAGCAAGGATCCAAGATTACTTCTGGATTTCCGAAGACGGACTAAATATTACAGTATAAAAGCTTCAATCTCTGTCTTTGTTAATTAATGCAAAACAAAAGCTTATTTTCTTCATTTTTTTTCTTGCTGAATCAAAAGCATTTTCAGTAGAAGTTGTAAAGATATCACAGTATTTTCCCAATTCTTAAAGTTTCAATTTGTTGATGCGTGATTCTAACACCAACTAATCGACACGTGCGCAACGTTGATTGGTCAAGAAACACACGTGATTATGGATAGAGAATACGAAATGAATGCAATGAGAGCTTATAAAGTGGTTCGGATGCTAAGGTAGCAAGTCCTACGTCCACTGATTTGTATTAATATGGTGGGTCAGGTCGCAAAAGCGGACTGACTTATAAATGATTGGGAAAAGTAAATACAAAGTTAGAGAGAGAGAGAGTTCAAGGGTAAAATGGCCAAATCCCCCTAATGAAGGGGTCTTCCCCTTTTTATATCAAGTTGAATGCGTGTAATCATCATTAAATCCTTGGGTTGGTGTGAATGTCAGGACATAATCCGGCTTTATGTCTCATTGCCCATTTCCCAAGCTGATTTCATGCGATTTGGAGCAGGGAAATGGACACGTGGGAGCTCCACGGCGCTTGGCAGGCCTGACGTGCGCTTACCATTCTGACGGGAGCAGGTCACGCTTCATCACGTGACTCTCCACGTCAGCCCTTGATTTCCCAGGCATAACAGAAGTCCCCTAGTTTTTAAGGTTTGAGGATCGAACCTTGGAAACTAAGTCATGCTGCGATTGGAGGTTCTGGTAATTTCGACCTGAATGGGAGAAGCTCGGGACAGGGCCTTTGGCGAACACGACCTCGCACAATTCTTTGCCTAAACAACGTGACAATCATCATCCTAGCGACCTGGATTCATCGGGCGTTCCTCACCGCGCCTTGGGTTGGAAATTCAATGAACTTGTTTCTGTGCTGTCAGGCGCTCTGCATGTGTTAAAGCGTTTGGCAGGCGCATTAAATGCGTTGTGTGCTGACCCGACGTTGTTTTGACAGCATTAATTGCACGACATATTTGAAATGATGACCCTCATCACAGCATTGAATGCGACGTGGGGCGCATTTATTGCGGAGAGAGAGAGAAGGCTGTTGTTTCGGTTCCGAGAGGTGGTAACCGTTGATTCGTAGTCCATATTAAAACCTTTCAGATGATGCCACCAGAATCCCTTTTACCTCTAGCGAAAAATCTTTGCAAACCGGAAGCTCTTCTTTTCCGATTGGCATCCCTCCGGCGTCCAAAACAAGATCCGTCCTCGGTCACGCGCTTCAGAAGGTAAGGTCCTTTTCCTTCTCTCTTTTTTTTTGTTTGGTTGGTGGGTAATGGCGTTGGGTCTCCCGGTGTTTCACCAGAGACGCGACACCGTAGTCGGATTTGAGTCGTGGGTGGCGGCTCGAGTTACTGTTAGGGTTTAAGGAATTTGTCCCCTGCTGCCGCGCGGGACAACATGCGATGGCTAAAATGACCTTGTCTATCGGTGTTGCAGACTCTGGAATGGAACCGTCAACGTCCAGACCCGAGGAAGGAACCAGTTCATCTTTGTGGGACGTTCCCGTGGACGCATCCCTTGATGTCTTCTCGGTTCTCACCCGAGAAGAGTTCGATAGGATAAAAAAGCAGTTCGACGTCCGCGCAGAGGTGTTCCTCAACAACACCCGGTCGTCACAGCATCCTTCCGATGGCCTTGCTGCGATCTCCGAAGAGATCTTCAAGGGTGGAGGGATGATTCCCTTCCATCCTTTCATCAGGTCGGTCCTGGATCACTTCGGGATCGCACTGATGCAGTTGACGCCAAACGCGTATGTCATCGCCGTCGCGATGTACATCGCGTGCTGCGAGAGTGGCTTGGGCGAGCCAACGGAGGTGGAACTCGATATCGCCTACTATCTTAAAAAGAGTAGGGACAAGGATTCGTATTACTTGTCTCGGCAACCTACCATCGCCGATGGGATACATAGCTATCCCAGCAAGGCGGGGGCCTACGAGACAAAATTCTTCTTTTTCTGCTATGACGGCTACTGCCGCTTTTAGAAACCAAGTAGGTTCTTCTTCGCTAGGTTCATTGTCTGTTCGCATGCTTTATCATAACGACCTTCCTTCTTTTGCAGTTAATAGAACAACCAGCCAAGACCTGCTTGACGACCCGAACAGGCTCGTGTCTTTTGGAGTCCTTCTCGAGGAAAGCCGGGACGCGAGGAAGCTCATGACAACCGCGAACTTGCGGAAGTACGATTTTATCAGTAACAACGTGTCTTTAGAGCCCCTAGAAGGTAAGTTACACTGATTCCCTTCTGGTCGCAGAATAATTTTGTTTACTAATGTACTTGTATGTAGCAATTATGCCTCTGAAGGAGTCCGAGCAGCCTCGCCGAGCACCGTTCGTCTTCCCTCGATCGAGGAGAGAGAGAGCGGTCGAAGTTGCTCGTCCCATTCCTGCACAACCGATGCGATCAGCCGCACCTTCCCAGCCCCATCCTGTGCAAGAAGTGACCACGATAGAACAGGTCGCTCAGGCACCACCTGCTCGCCCAAGGCGGAAGGCTCCGGCCCAGAGGTCGAAGAAAAGGAAGCAGATTCAGGTCGACGAGTCAGAGACCGAATCTGAGGAAGAACCCTTGAGGTCGCGATAGGACTCAAGGAGGTTGGGCAAAGAACCTGTGAACGAGGTGATCGCTGTCGACAAGGCGAAGGACGCACCAGTGCTGGACTCATTGGGGAGCCTGCCCGAATACCTGTAACTGATAGTCTATTCTCTGCTCGAGTATGGGCTATCGGAGTCATATGATGAGTTCGCTGATACGGGCGACGACCTGATGACCACGTCGTTCCAGCATCTAAGCAAGGTAAACGAACTGCTCTTAAAGCTTCATTCTAATTCATTTCTAATTCATTTCTTGCTCGCAGGCTTTGCTTGCGATGAGGATGTCTATGGAGAAGACTTGACTGGGGGCCGCGAAGGGGGCAAGCGACCTAAAGGATGAGGTCGCGAAGCTCAAGCAGAGCCTGGAGTCCGTCGAAGCGGAAACAACGCAAGCATTCGAAGCGGCAAACAGGTACCTGAACCAAAAGGATGCTGCTTTGCGAACAGTGGACTTCCAAAAGGCGGAGCTTAAACGACGTGCGGAGGAAGTAAAGGAGCTTCAAAGGACAACCGTTAGGCTCTCTAAGAAGGTCGAAGAGAAGGACCAGGAGATCCAGACGACCTCCATATGGGCTCAGCTAGCTGAACAAGAAAGAGAGGCCTCCGAAAAGGAGAGGCAAGCTCTTGAGGCCGAACTCTAGGAGAGTCGGGAAAAAATCGCTTCATTGACTGAAGAAATGCGGATCCAGTCAGAGGAGGTTAAGGATAAGGCCGTCGACTGGGAGATCGGGTCTATTTATTCCCTGCGATCAAAGAACCCAGATCTGGACATTTTCGACCTCCCGGAGGGGTGGCAAGAGACCTTGCGAATTCTGACGGAGGAAGATGATCAAGCAGTAGCGGCCACCCGACGATCTGACCAGGCAAAGGGTTCTGGTCCTGCTTCTTAGGATCCCCCCGACCAGCCATAATGTAACGAGTCTGACTCCATTGAGATTGGGTCTTAATTTTTGTTTGTACATAAATGAAAATACGTTTTGCTTTCAATTGCTGTTCGCTTTTTCATACATAAGTACAGTTTACAATTCAGTTTTACATGGCAATATTACATACGAATTCTTACACGCGAACAGAATACATGCGAACTGTTTCCAGTGAACAAAATAATACTTTTCAAAGAGGAAACTAACAAAAACTAATTTGAGAGCTGAGTTCGAGATTACTGATAGTATGGCCGGAGGTGCTCGGCATTCCAAGCTCGGGGTACTTTGGAACCGTTCAATCTTTTGAGATGGTAAGTCCCCGATCTGATCACCTTGTAGACCTGGTACGGTCCTTCCCAGTTAGGTCCTAGTACCCCTGCACTTGGCTCTCTGGTCCCAAGGAGAACTTCCTTTAGCACAAGGTCCCCGACCTGGAAGTTTCTTCGCTTGACCTTTGAATCGAAAAACCTCTTTGCCCGCTGCTGCTAGGCTGCTATCCTTAGCGAAGCCTTGCTACGGTGCTCTTCAACGAGATCCAAACTTGCCCTCATAAGTGCTTCGTTTTCAACCTCGTCGTACAAGTCTCTCCAAAGAGAACCAGTTCCCACCTCTACAGGAATCATTACTTCGCAGCCATAGGCTAGCGAAAAAGGGGTTTCTGATGTGGAAGTTCTTGGAGTTGTCCTGTACGCCCATAAGACTTCGGGGAGATCATCAGCCCAATTTCCTTTAGCTGCCCCAAGTTTGGCCTTTAGAGTGTGCTTGATGGTCTTGTTGACAGCTTCAACTTGGCCATTTGCTTGCGGTCTGGCGACTGAGGCGAATTTTTTATGGATGCCCAGCTTGTCATAGAACTGCTTGAACTCCTCGTTATCGAATTGCTTTCCATTATCCGAGATAAGGGTGTGAGGAATTCCGTAGCGGCACACTATGTTCTTGAAAACGAAGTCTTTCAGCTTTCTGATCGTGATCGCGGCCAGCGGTTCAGCTTCCACCCATTTTGTGAAATAATCTACCGCGACCACGTCATACTTGACCCCTCCTTTTTTGACTGGCATGGGACCGATAAGGTCGATCCCCCACATGGAAAATGGCCAGGGGCTAGACATCGTTATCAGCTCGTGCTAGGGGGCTCGCGGAATGTTCGCGAACCGCTGGCACTTGTCACATTTCTTGATAAAATTGTGCGTATCTTCTTGGATCCGGGGCCAATAATATCCCTAATGAACAACCTTGTTCGCAAGAGATCGAGCAGCTGTGTGATTACCGCAGATTCCTTCGTGAATTTCCCTTATGATGTAGTCAGCTTCTTCACTGGTTACACGTCGGAGGAGAGGGGCACTGAATCCTCTCCTGTACAGCTGGTCCTCGATGAGTGTGTAACAAGTAGATCTTGCTCGCACGACCCTTGCCTCGACCTTGTCGTCTG